ACAAAGTTATTAATGATAACGAGCAAAATAATAACGGTATTTATTTATTTATTATTATTTAGTAGTTTGACTTTTTCGTTTTTTATAAAAATATTTTTTAAATGTTTTTTTTAAATTTTTCAGAACTAGTTTCGTTAAGTTCTCACTCGAAATATGATGATGGTTTCAGAGAAAGATTTAATCAAAACATGGATAATAAATTTGCACTTCAAAGTACCATTAATAAAAGAGCGGCGAATCCAAATAAAACCAACGCGAAAGGTCTAACGTACTACATTATGAATCCTAGTGATTTACGAGAAGATTATCCAGTCTGGCATTATTTTTATCTTTGCACGCTGATATTTGGAGCATTTATTACTTTATTCATTGTACCTGTCGTATTCGGTATGTTGGCGGCAATTGGCGGTATTGGGACTCCACTTGTTTTATCAATCGTTGGAAGTTTTTTCGGTCTTTTCCTTGGAGCTGTATTTGGCGTTGTATTCGCAGTAGTTTGCATTATTTTCTTGATGAAATCTCTTGGTTTTGCTGCCGAATGGATTTTGGATGTTCTTTCTAATGGTGGTAATGATTTAGTTGAAATTACCAAAGAGCAATTTATCCAATTTGTTAATAACTCTCCATCTCAATAAATATTATTATCATTATTTTAGTAGAAATATTTTTCTATTTATAACCATCCCAAGTTTTTGCATGCATTATTTGAAGCCAAGTCAATGCTTTACTATCAATGATCACGATCCTGGGATCTTTTACAAATAATAATTCATGCATTCAAGATTCATATACGGTTCAACAACCTGACAACAAAACCAACATGTTTGTACTTTTTCCTTCTTCAAATGCTAGTGATATACAAATTTTCATTTTATAGGTGATATTGGTGCATTTGGACCTTGGCCATTACAAGGTGATTCTTCCCTGGTAATATTAGTTGTTACATTTCGTTCCATAGTTGTAGAGTGTGTCTTGTGAATCTATTCATTACTACTTGTTAATGAAATTGACAAATACCACGCATATCCATGAAAAATTTTTAATAATTAGACGCAATATATCCTGCTACCTTGTAATTCCTGCTGAATATATAGTGTTTTTTTTTTTTCATATTCCAATCCCTATTTTTATTATATTTAAAATAGTAATTCACTTTTAGTAAAATATATATATATATATATATATATATTAATATGACATCTTGGATATAAAGAAATGAATTAGAAATTGCCAGCAAAAAAAAAAAATGCTTTATTAATTATAAAATAAAATAAAATACCATTTATAA